ACGCCAAGTGTAAGAGTAAATTGTGCTCATGATATTCTAAATCTAACAATCAAGGGTTAATTTATGCTCGTAGAGCGTAACTTTCACTAATCAAACATTATTTTAAGACAGACGAAAATCAAACTTAAAACCACTGATATATAAAAGTTTAATTTATACACATTATAAATGTTAAAAAAAACTCACTTGTTCAATTAAAAATCATTAATATGATATTTATGATAATAATTATAAAAGTCAATAAATTTGTATTTATTTTTATATATAATGATTAAATATAATAATATAAATTATTAGTCATAAATCTAAAAGATAAATTATACTTATGTTTAAAAATATTTATTTATTATAAATTTTAGTTATTTTTTTAATATAAATTAGCAAATTATCTTAAATGTATTTTTGAACAATAAATTTTTTATGAGTTTTTATTTAATGAGGATATTTTCAAAAGAAAAATAAATAACCTTTTTAATTCGTTTAATCTATTTTTTTCATCATTATTTTTAAGTAGAATTTTAATTTATTTTTAAAGTATCAATAATTTTAAATAATTTTGTATTATAATATAAATAATCTATCATAAATCTATAATATAATTTACATGTTCAAAAATATTTATCTGTTCAAATGGAGAATACAAAGGCATTCTCATATATTAATTTCAACGAAATAATGTTTAAATAATGTATCATAAGGTGGCGATGAAAGCCATCTACAAGCTCTCTAACGCTCGAGTCATTATAAGAGAAAAAGAAAAGTATAATAAGTAATGAAAAACATTATCAAACTTGTGATGGGAGTCCCTATTTATAGTGACCATGATGAGAGGTAAGAAAAAAGTTTATTATCCTACATGGATTAGTTGTTACAAAATGTGTTGCTTCAAGCATGGATTGTCAGACCCAACGTGACTATGTTAACTAGAATGTGATAAAGACATACTTAACGTAACTAGGTTGACCTAGGTCGATGCTAGAATAGTTAAGTCAACCTTATTGAATATCTTAGTTTTGATCAACTATTTCGATAGGTATTTTATCCATATTGTGGTTTATAAGATAGATAGGTTTGATGGTGAATTTTTTACTGGAATAATATTTTTTTTAAAAAAATTTACAAGAATGATCACTGTGCAGAATTATTTACTAAGATAGAACCATTTACTGTTCAAGCTCAGAATTCGGTTCCCCGGGAACCGAATTCTGAGCATCAAAATGTAATTTTTTTTTGTTTTTTCAACTCAGAATTCGGTTCCCGGGGAACCGAATTCTGAGTTGGTTTTAATTTTTTTTTTTTTTTTCGTGTCTGGGGCAAATGTGGGCTGATGTGGGAAGCGGAACGGCCCGTTCCAAAAGCAGAACGACTTAAAGAAACAGACCAGTGAACCGAATTCTGAGCTTGAACAATAAATGGTTCTATCTTGGTAAATAATCCTGCACAGTGATCATTCTTGTAATTTTTTAAAAAAAATATTATTCCAGTAAAAAATTCATTTGATGGTTAGACTTTTCAAAAATATTATTTATTATGATTCATAATTACATAAAAAAATTTCCTTGTATATTATATATGTTAAAATATTAGTATGATTATTAAACTAATTTAATTTGTAATTGCCCCAAACTCTCGGTGGCATTCAACTCAAATAATTTTATGTTTAAATATAATTTAATTCCCTGTGAAATAAATAAGTTTTAACTTTGATTCCTATAATTTTTTTTATTTATTTTTCATCTTTCTAAGGTTTGTAAACAATATTTTTGGTCTTTTTAAAATGATTAAATTATGATTTTAGTCTCTATAAAATATACTATTTTTTATTTTTATTTTCATCTCTCTACAATCTAAAATCATTATTTTTAATCTTCAATGATCACTTTAAGATAGATATATAACATTGATTTTAATATATATATATAAACTTTAGAGGTGCACTCACAAATATAGTAGCACTATTAGTAAGTGATAGATCTAAATATTTGAAGTAGTGGAGACATTAAGACGACACTTATACATAAATTTGTGACAATATTAAATATATAACTTCACATATTTTGAAATATAAATATACATCACCATTGTTATGTATGAGATTTTATATTTTAAAAACATTGAATGATTTTTCTCATTTTTTAACACTTTTTAAAAAATATTTTTCTACAAATAACTAAATAATTATTTAACTATTTAACTCTCATATCAAAATTTGACCTTTTTTAATTTTAAAAAATAGAATAATATGGACTTAGGTTACCTATCATCCCTTTATTGACTATGCTTAACTATAAATAATATTATATATATATACTAGAAGAAAAGAAAAAAAGAGACATTTCATATCTTGTTAAAAAATAAATTAAAAAAAAGATAAAATAAAAGATATGAAATTACATAATAGTCAGTCTTATTTATATTAATCAAGAGATAAAAGAGTAAAAAAAAATTGTGAATACTAAAACAAAATGTTACCTTTATAATTGTTAATAATTATAAATTGTGAAATAGTGTAAAAAATATTTTAAAAGATTAATATATTGACTTAATTTTTTTTAACAAAATGAAAACACGGAGAACAATAAGAACATTTAGTGTTTAGTAGGAGATTTTATTATAATATGTATAATTAAAATTATATAATAAAAGTTAGTTGAGGCTTTTGCTCCCACAATGATATACATAAATTCCTTCTTACTAATAATAATTTTGAATAACATTTGAAATGTTGACTTAATTTCTTAATAAATAAATAAATAATTAAAATAATCACATAGTAGTAAAAACTAGAAATAATACCTTCAAATTCAAGAAAATAAAAAACAAAGAGAAAAATTATGAAAAATTTCTAGAATAGCAACGACTTTCCATGTGTATAGATCTGAAAGCAGTGACGGATTCATATATACGAATAGCAACCACTTTAGATATATATGAATATATGATCGTTTGAAAAGATCCGAAAGACTGAAACCCTGGGAAGTGTATATATTGCATGTGCATATACATTTGCAAAATATGTAACAATCTTCTTTTCCATCTGATCTCATTGTTGACTTACAGCCCAGAATCCGCGTTGATGGTAGAACTAATTAGGCTCTCATAAAGTAATAAATAAAGAAATAAGCATAGCAAGCACACACTCACAGACACAGGCAATTGGATTGGATTTAAAGCATAAACATGAGAAAATCGAATTGGTAGTTGAGTTGTGACTACAAAGACACGGAAATTTATAACATGACAAAGACTGATGGGTGAATCGTATTATTTGCGAATCGGGTGAATATTGTAAGTTTCCCATTCCATTCCAAGTTTGACTTGGCAGTGCCGTAGGCGTATGGTGCATCAACACCAAATTGCATTGGAATTGGACTTTAGGTTTATCATTCTTACCAAACGGGATTTTAGTTAAGCAAAAGCTCGAATATCACCCCGTCATTAGCTCACGCGCTCACACTCCTGTCGTTTTCATGCAAACCCACATACTTTGTTTTTTTTCGTATAAATTAAATATTATTAATTGCTACTGTTCTTAGTTCTTACGTAGATGGATACCGCTACCTTTGACGTTTCATAACACTGCACATGCTATGCTAGCTACTTCAAGCTACTATTCTTTCTTTCAATTCTACTCCCAATTTTCAAAATTAATTAATATTTTACACTAATATCAAACCCAACACAAATCCAATGGTGGAAATCACATTGTTCCCCCATGAACTATACGAAGTCAAAGGCCACCGTAGATTTCGCTCCAATTAGAATAAAAGTTATGTTTATGAATATGCACGTACTTTGTCCGGTTTCTCTTGCGTGAAAATAGGGGAGAGGGTTATATTGCCATGTCCGAATTAGCGAAGCAGAGAAAAGAAAAGGGAAAAACGGTAGAGCCTAGTTTCTGTACGGGGGATAGGAGCAAGCATTGTGCCCCTCCCCTACATACTACATATGGTTGCTTTCGGTGCCATTATAACACTGTAACTTGTAAGATATAATGACTAATCATTTTTGCTTTTTTTCTTTTACTTGTAAGTTTAACCCGTAAGATTAAAGAGGTACAGTGGTAATTATCAGCTTCAAAGTAGTTTTATAATGTTGATTAATAAAAAATAACTATTGATGTAATTTTTATAAAAATAAATAAGTTTTTTGAATATGATATAATTTCTTTTTATCGAATGACAGTATAAATTATTAATTTTATATTATTATCAGTAAATAATTTAATTTTTGTAATCGTTTTAGGGCTATTTGCAAATTTATCTAATTCAATAAAAATTTGTAAAATAAGTCGAAATTAAATCTTGTAATAATTGTATGAAATGCGTGGAATCAACACCATTATAATTTTGTAAGAATATGTTAGTCTTACATGAAAAGAGATTCTGTTGTGACTCTTGAATGTGTTTATTTTCATTGTAATTATTTAACAGTTGATTTTATTTCTCTAAATTTTCCTATTCTCATTCCTAATCGTAATTGTTGCCACATATTGATCTTCAATTTTTAATCTGATTATGTAATTAATTATTAGGAAAGTGTATGAATAAAGTGGTGGGTTCTCATGTTTATGAACGCATTAGAGAGGTTTTTGATAGATTAGTGATATAGTGGACAATATTCTTAGAGATAAATTAGTGTCCTGCTTCTTAGTATTTTAATATATTCCAATGGTTGTAATAGAAAGTGGGTTGTTTTGTCAGCGGTATGTAGGCGTAGGTCAAATAATTAGTGTAAAAGGTCCCTCCATAGACTTTTATGTTTGTTGATTTGGGATGCTAGTGATAAATAATGAAAATAAAAACGAAAGAAGTATTTGCGTAAAAAAAAAAAAAAAAAGGAAATATTATTGTGTGATAATGGATAGCAATACTATAGCATATGAGAATTGAGAAGAAGTAAATAAAAGAAGAATATAGAATAGAAAGATATGTAAGGTATATGGGGTAGAGGTGGAAGAGAAGAGTTGTAGTTGGAGCCTTGGAGGTGGAGGTGGTTGTCGTTGTCGAGGGTTGAGGGTTGGAGGGATGATGTAATCAAGGCGACCGATGGAAGCCTCCCTGGACCCCACCCCACCATTCTGCCTCTTGCCCTCTTGCCCTCTTGCCCTCTTCTCCCGCTCCGCACGTGCCAACACCAAAAAGCGAGCATCTGACGTCACCCAACCTTTGACTCCTTCTCTCTCTTCTTTAAACACCGCTTTCTTGTCCGCTGCATCGCCTACCTCTTTTTCTTTCTGTGTTACACTTACACCGCTCACAACTCACAACCAACCATGGTGAGAGACGATCTATACATCAGCGTCCCCAGCTTCTTCCGCTGCCCCATATCCCTCGATGTCATGAAATCCCCAGTCAGCCTCTGCACCGGCGTCACCTACGACCGCTCCAGCATCCAGCGCTGGCTCGACAACGGAAACAACACGTGTCCCGCCACCATGCAGATCCTCCAAACCAAAGACTTCGTTCCCAACCGAACCCTACAGAGCCTCATCCAGATCTGGTCCGACTCGCTTCCTCACCCACTCCACTCGCCCGACTCACTCCTCTCCAAGGACCAAGTCCTCCTCGCCATCTCCCACTTGCAAACTCCTCCTCGCCTCGACTCGCTCGCCAAAATCGCGCGTTTCGCGCTAGATTCCGAGGAGAATCGCGATTTTCTCGCCAGAACGGAATGCTTCGTGCCGCTCTTGGTTGGCCTCCTCGATAATGTCAATGGCGGCGTCGAATTCCTCGAACAGGTGGTGACGGCGTTGGATTTGGTTGTCGGAAAAATGGAAGACGGTGAGAGGCTGAAAAACCTGATGCTCAAGAGGCAGGGCGAGGGACAAAAACAGAGCGTGCTAGATTCTCTGCTTCTCGTTCTGCAACAAGGCAGCCAGGGCGCCAAGGCCGCGTCCGCTAGGGTTTTGAAATCCGTGGCCGTGGACGCCGAATCGAAGCTGTTGATAGCGGAGAAGGAAGGTTTAGTATCGGAGTTGCTGAATCTAATAGCGCCGGAGAAAGATCCGGGTCTAATGGAGAGCTGTTTGTCGTGCTTGGTGGCGATTTCGACGCCGAAACGGAGCAAGATGAAGCTGGTGCGAGTGGGAGCGGTGAAGGTGTTGTCGAGGCTTCTTTGGGCTCCGAGCTTGAGCGTTTGGGCGACGGAGATGGTTCTGAAGGCGGTGGAAACGGTGTCGTCTACGAAGGAAGGGAGGGCGGAGATATGCGAGGAGGCGGCGTGCGTGGCGGCGATAGTGAAGAAGGTTCTGAAGGTGTCGAGCGTGGCGACGGAACACGCGGTGACGACGCTGTGGAGTGTGTGTTATCTGTTTCGGGATGAGAAGGCGCAAGAGGCGGTTACGAAGGCTAATGGATTGACCAAGATTCTGCTTCTAATGCAGAGTAATTGCTCGCCCCATGTGCGCCAAATGTCTGCCGATTTGCTCAAGATATTTCGGGTTAATTCCAAGTCCTCTCTTTCTTCTTATCACACCCAAACCACTCATATTATGCCCTTTTGATCCTCCTACCACTGCCTTTCTATTTGTAAATCACACACAAATTTTTAATACACAAACCAATATTCATTTCTACACTCTCTTTTCTCTTCCCCTTTTTTATGCCTTTAATCTCTCTTAATAATTCCATAAAATGTTTATTACTCGCCTTAATTAAATGACCAAAATTAAAATGAAATAGGATATGCTTGTGAAATGTTTCTACTTTCATTCGATTATAAATCGCAATTTCTTGGCTTTGCAATAAAAAAGCCAAACATGGTTTTGAATTCGATTACCGTGTTAAAATCTCTGGACACATAATGCATATTCATTAAATTCATTAAAATAAAAAAAAATAAAAAAAAAGTATTTAAATTAACAATTGAACCTATATAGAATGTTGTGGATTGAAATTGAGTTGAATAACATGCAGGCATGAATTGAAAGGAAACGCAAATGAGTTGGTATTGGATTGTGAGTTGTGAATTGTGAATGGTGAAACGGGGTTTTGCTTTTGTTTGCTGAGTGTAATCATGCGAGCTTTCTCTTTCATTAAGTATTGTTTGTTTGCAAAGAAAGGGACGAAAAGGATGGGAATCCAAATGGAAAAAGAAAGAGATACATTATAGGTTTGACCACTTGTGTATATTACATGAATGCTTTAAGGGCACTAAACAATGCCCACCCTCGACCTCAATCATAAAAGTTTAAATAAGTAATCCACAATCTTGAGAAAAGGACGGCGTCCATTACAATCCATTAAGACATTATTAAACAAAACAAACATTGTTCTATATTGGATTTTGGTGCGTGTGGATTGGTTGCAAGTAGCAGCAATAGCAAAGGAAAAAAGTTGGGAAAGCATGGTTCCCTAAGCACTATCTTTTTCTCTCCTTTACTTTTCATGTTCTTGGTGCTTTTTTGTACTCCAATGTAGGGTATGAATTTATATGTATTGTATTGGATCAGGCGTATATTGGCGGTAATTACAAGGCCAAGGACGTGCGATTATTCGATGGGGTAGCATGTTGGGACAAATCACGTGACACATTTATAAGGTTTTTATTGAGATCGATTTGAGAGTAACCCATCTTATGTATGGTTGGGTGTGGGGGCATATATATCTTTTGTTTGACCTTTCCATTCAGGTGGATTAGGAACAAACACAAACGTCACTCATTACTATTCATATCTTTTCACTCTTTTTGTTTTTTTATTTACATTATTCATTATTATTATTATTATTATTATTTTTAATTATCAAACTAGTGTGTTTTTATATAAATTATTATTGTAGACTGCATAGCATAATGTAATGGTCTATAAATAATTGCTTACAATTTTAGAGTATTACAAACATTTGTAACGATCGTAGATAGTCCACAATTTACTTGCGTAAAAAAAATGAAAGAAATAGAGTTTTTTTAATTATAAAAAAAAAAAAAAAAACTCTAATTGGTAGATTTTTTACTCTAAGAACCGTTCGACTTGGGTATTGTTTTGCAGTCTCTTCGTCTTGACTAAGGGACTTGAGACTGAGGGGTGTTGTGTACATTAATTGATTTAGTTCTGATACATTGATTTTTATTTTTATTATTATTTGAATGTCATACTTATATGTTTCCTTTTAGATGTAATTTATATTTATATGACTGAATGCGAGTTAAATTTAAATTTAATGCCATATCCTTTCCATTATGAATCTTATCCATAACGAATTATAAATTAAACCTTTATTTTTTTATAGAAAAAATACAAATAAATTATTGTTACCATTTAAATACATTTTCTTATATATAAAGAGAAAAGAGAGAAGGGATCTGCTTACTCTATGAATATTATTTCACTCAATAATTTATTGTCTACATCAAATTTCAATAATCTAACTATTAAATTAAGGTCAAATCAATATGTCCCTTATACCCTAAGCGACACACCTACTACAATAGACGGAACAAATGATCGTGATCCCGCGAGGGTGAGCGAACTCCAAAAACTCATCCTCAGTTCAGATTGTAGGCTGCAACTCGCTTGCATGAAGTCGAAATCATCAGTCAGCCATACGATGATGAATTCGTTCCTAGGTCTTGTACACACTGCTCATCACACTATAGGAGTTGGCCATGCCCAAAGTCGTTACCTTAACCACAAGGAAGAGATACCAAAAGCATGATTAGTGACTTGAGTGAAGAATATAAATTTTATTACATTCTAAACTAAAAACTTATAAAAAATTTATATATATATAT